AAAAACAGTTCTCCAAACTCCCCATCAAACTATCCGGACCCAGGTCCTCTTTGACCTCAGGCTGCTCCAGCCCAGGGTTGAGGCTCAGTCCTTCCCTCCTGACTCCTGTGCAGTAAACCCTCTATAATAACCACCACTCCTGAAGGTAATCTTGGAAACCCCTCTGGAAACACTGGCATCCCTGTGGGTTTTCAGAATGCACATGGCAGGTAGCACAGGTGGCCAGATCCCCTAGCTCACCCACTCCTGGGAAAGGGCCTGTCCTGCCCCCTTGGCTACCTGTTGGCATCTCTTTAGGTGCTCCACCTCCTGCAGGGCCTGCTCCCTCTGCCTCTTCAAGTCAAGCTTCTCCAGATTCAGTCTCTCCACCAGTTTCCTGGCCTCTTGGAATTTCTGCATGAGGAACTCCTTCTCCTCCCTCTGGCTGCCTTGAAAACGCTGCAGCTCCTCACAGCACTCCCGCAGCATCTGGTTGCTCTGCCGAATGGCATCTGGTAGCAGAGGAGAAAGCATAGGGGAGGGGAACCCTGGCAGTCAGCCTGGCCAGCCCCTCTTTGCCCTCCCCATAACACCGTGCTGCCTCTCACACAGAGAGATGGCTTCGAAACACTTATTTCATGAAACATTTCAAAACCAATTATGCTAATGATATGCCCCTAAATTTCTCCAACAAAATATTGAACATATCAGCTTCACTTAGAAATGTGTGCCAAATGTGACTTTATTTGTAAGTGACTCTGGAACTCATTTGTATTCTGGTGGGGTCAGAGGCATGCCTGCCCTAGAACACTCGGGTTACTCACTGTCTTTGGAATCAGGAGGTCCTAACCTACCTGCAGACTCAGGAGATAGCCACCAGGGCAAACTTCCCTATGACATTGCTAGCTGCAGCCTGAGAGGGTCAGAAGGCTTGAAGTGGACTAGATGCTCGCCTCTCTGAGATTCACCATCCTCATTTATATGTTCAACAGGGGCAATCGTACCCACCTCACAGGATGAGGAGGGTTAGATGAAAAAGCAGACAAAGTACCCAGCGCACAACACAAATTCAAGAAACAGCCAGTTCTGCTCTCACCAGACTAAAGGATGACCATTACAAATGCCAGACAATCAGCAGAGGCCGTGGAAAGGAGAGCCACACATCCAGGGGACACCCCAGGCAGCAGAAGACCATCAGGGGTGACAAAACTGATCAGTGATGAGCAAAAGTTCTAGCAACTACAGAGCTGTATAAGATGGGGGCAGGCAGTAGTTTCATGTCACCCTCTAGTCAAAACCCATGACTACCTAACTAGTTCCTACTGATAAAAAACATCCTTTCACCAGAACTTCAGTGGCTTCTGAGCCTGGCTCCAAAGCTACCTTCTGCACTCTACTGCTCCCATGTGACTCTCCCCTGCAGGAGCTCAAAGCCCCGGGCACTCTGTTCCCCCACCAACCTCCACCTGTCGCAATCCTGCCAACCCCTGTCCGAGGCTCAGCTCATGTACAACGTTTTTCATTGAAGTAAAATTCACAAAATGTCAAATTCATTGTTTTAACTATTGTAAAGTACAGTTGACCCTTGACCACCATGGGTTTGAACTGCTCAGGTCCACTTATATGTGGGGGGTTTTCAATAAATATACAGTAGGCCCTCAGTATCTCTGGGTTTCACATCCACAGATTCAACCAATCTTGGATTGAAACAGTGTTTTTGATCCATAGCTGGGAATCTGTGCATGCAGAGGGTCTACTGTATGTGTGAGTCAGGCAGCGCAGGTGGAGGCCATGAAGCCATGAGGCCTCTGCCTGCCACTGGAGCCTGAGCTCCCTGTGGGGGAGCTGGAGGTGCCAAGGTCCCTGTACTGATGGCCTGCCACACTCTCACCCCAGAGTCCCCCTTGCCAGAGTGCTCTCCTGGGGAAGAGAAGAGGCCACACAGATAGCAGAAGATGAGCTGTCTCCCCATCCCCCAACCTGGCTGCCAACTCCATGTGGCCCCAACACAGTAAGACAGCTGACAACCTCTGGGAACACTGTTGGTATCATAATTGGAGGGGTGCTAGATGCTGCTCAATACCCTGCAGTGCCCAGGATGACCCCTAGATGTCTGAGTGCTGAGGTGGAGGAAGGACTGTGCACTAAAGACAGACAGGTCTTGCTGGCTCTCTGCTCGAAACGGGCTGTCTCCAAAGCAGGCCAGGCCTCCAGAAGACCAAACAGTCCCTGGAGGGGGCAAGTTGACTGAGCTAGACCCCTTCCATCCTGGAAGGGAAGGCAATTCACCTTGACAGGAAGAAGAGACACATATTCCAGGCATGGGTTTGGTCCCTGACTGCAGGGCCTCAGCCAGGACCACTCCCTGAGGCTTACAGAGCATGTGACTTGTCAGCACAGGGCCCCACATAACATCCCTGTACTGACGGCCTGCCACCAGGGGACACACTATCCAGCGAAAGAGGTGGGGGAGTGGCCCTAGGACTGGGGCCTCCATTGGTTGTGTCACATGCCAACCCACCAGTCCACTAGGATAGTGGATGGCTGATTGAAAACAGGTGAGACACTGGCTTGGGGGCAATTTCTACAAGGATGAGGCACCATCCTCCAGGATATGGTGTACACAGGGGCTGTGACCTTTATAAGCCCTAAGTTCCCAGCATGCACCAGGGGGTGAAGCAAAAGGGGCCATGTGCCCCATCATTCCCCATGACCCACCTGGGGAGTCTGTGTTGCCCCTCCCTGCAGCCTTGGTTTTGGCAGTCTAGAAGGTCCCCATAGCAGAAACACAAGCATCTCAGTAAATGAGAAGCTAGAGATGCCACCTGGGCACCTGAGGCTATTCATAAGTACCAAAGGAGCAGTGAACCAGATTTGGAGTCCCCGAGGCATATAATGGGGGAGGGGGGTGCTGTCTCACACGGGAGGGGGGCATGTACCACATCTAAGGACAGCCATGTTCCCTGAGGGGCACAGTACAACGGCAACTGGGGCCTGAAAAAGCTGCCCCCTGTACAGGTGAGGATGTGGAGGGTGAGTGAGTAGGGACTGTGATGAAAATAGGGATGAGATGGCCAGGAAAAAACTTGAACCCTAGCCACTTGTAGAGAGGGGGCTGCTGAAAAACAGCCTTCAGCTGAGGGCTCTTCACAGAGCTGCCTGGCACCTGGCCCAGGGTCAGGAGCCAAAGATTTCTCCCTTTCCCAAAGCAGCCTACAGGCCCTTCCCAGGGCAGGCATGCCCCTTTCCCAGGACAACTAGCCCTTAATGACTAATCGGTATTGAAATATAAAGGCCGGGCTATGTTGAACCAACTTGGGACAACTCAAGACAGGTCATTCCAGCTCCAGAGCTCCCTGTAGGGTTGGCGTGCACTGCAGCCCAGCTTCTCTCTCTGCCCTGCCCCCTGCTTCTTCCCTGTCCTTCCCTTCCCCAGTTCTGGGCCTCAGAGCACTCCAAAGAAACTTTCTGCACATTAATCTCCATCTCACAATATGGTTCCAGGGAACCCTACCTGAAAGAAAGAGGGAGAGTGACTGAGTTTGAATCACTAGCCGACTCCCAGACCCAGTAAACTTGGAGGCACATGTGAGTAGAATAAGTGTTCCCCCAGCAGGGCTGGATCCCCTGACCTTTTATTCCACACACGCACTGTCCTCACCTCGGAGCTCTTGATTCTCCTCCAGACAGCGCTGGAAGGTCTCAGGAGCACCCTGCTCCGAAGGCAGGTGGAGCATGGTTGGCTTCCCCAGAGAAGATTCTTCACCCTGCACGTCCTGGTCCCCAGCCGGGCCACCACTGGGCTGCACCATCTCACACAGCTGACTCTTCCAGGGGGGCGTGCTCATCCAACAAGTCAAGGTCTGGAAGAGAAAAGCAGCACAGGCATCACACCAGACCTGTGCAGAATTCTTACCCTACAGGACCAGTGTAGTCTGTGTGGCAGGTTTTTTTTTGTTTTTGTTTTTTGTTTTTAATCCTCCCCTGAGGTATTTTTTTTTTCCATTGCTTTTGTGTGCGTCAGTTTGGGGGCCACACTTTAAGCTGAATGTCGAGCATTTTGTCTAGAGTAATAGGATGTTAAAATGGGCTTTTTGGTCTAAGAGGTGATACATACCCCCATTCCAAAGGGAGGTGCAGACCATATGTGGGACTTGGAAAGGCCATGGTTCAGCACTGGTTATGAATTCTGTCTAGCACCTGTCTCCAGGCTGTAAACTGAAATTAAGAATTTCACCAAAGGGGACAAATTAGAGAGAGGATTATTTCTGGAGGGAGGTGTCAGTGTGCTCGGAATTCTAGGTGTCAGTGGGCTGGGAATCCTACCCCATACACACATCTCCAAGCAGTAGTGGAGGGTGTTGGCCCCTCACTTAGTGTATGGGGTTGAACGGTGGCCCCCAACAAGATATGTCGACATCCTGACCCCTAGAACCTGTGTACATGACCTTATTTGGAAAAAGGGTCTTTGCGGATGTAATTAAGTAAAGGATCTTGAGAGATCATCCTGGATTAGGGTGGTCCCTAAATCCAATTACAGGTGTCCTTATAAGAGATAAAATAGGAGAAGACACAGACACAGAGGAAAAGCCATGTGAAGGTGGAGGCAGAGACTGGAGTGATGTAGCCACAAGCCAAGGAATGCCTGGAGCCACCAGAAGCTGGAAGAGGCAGGAAAGATCCTCCCCTCTAGCCTCTGGAGGGAACATGGCCCTGCCAATACTTGATTTCATACTTCTGGCCTTCAGAACTGGGAAAGGGTAACTTTCTGTTGCTTTAAGCCACCTGGCTAGTGGTCATCTCTTATAGCAGCCCTAGGAGATTAATATATCTAGTAAGAGGGGCTTTTAGGAGACCAATCAAAACCTGATGAGTGTTATCTGGAACTGAGGGGCAAAGGGAGATATCTGATATCTGATATGTGCTGAGCAATCTGAAAATGGGAGCTGGGCTCACAGCCTAAGACAGTGAGGCAGAGAGACAGGCTGAGCTGTTCCCACTTCTCTTGTGAACTAGAGTAGAGGTGGGCCATGTGGAACAGCACCAGCCTGGAGCCCTTTTAAATCTTGCCCAAGGAGACTAACTACCTGGAGTTAGAGGCCAATCTTAATACAAATTTCCAGGCCTAAGCTGAGGGAGGCTTTAAACAGCAGATAAGCTTGGACATTTGACTATTACACTGAACACTCTACTAACCCATCAGCAGTATCTGACCAACCACGCTGATCCTTCCCTAAGCTTCCACAACAGTCCACTCTCCTGGTTTTCCTTCTACCTCATGGGCTGCTCATGCTCAGTCTTTTTCACTGAATCCTCCTCCTCAACCCACCCCTGTTGTGGTGCCCCAGGGCTATGTTCTGGGATCTCCTCTCTTCTCTATCTATAGACACTCCAGTATTAATTCCATTCAGTCTTGCAGCTTTAACTCCCACGGATGTTGATGATGCCCAAAATTAGACCTCTTTCCTGAACTCAACTTACATTTCAAACTCAACACCTCCACTTGGAACCAAGTACTCCTTTCAAAATTAATCTCTCTAAAACTGCACTCCTGACAGTCCCCAAAAGCCAGTTCCCCACAGCCTTCCTTTTTGTCAGTTGATGGCAAATCCATCCTCCAGTTAATAGGGCAAATATCCTGGAGTCCTTCTTGACTCCTCTCTGTATCTCACATCTAATCCATCAGGGAATTCTATCAAAATGTATCCCAAAATCTATTTGATGACACTAAGCAATTAATATTAACTGTTTTGGGTGTAATAGTGGTATTGTGGTTATGTTTTTTTCAAAGTCTTTTCTTAGAGATGCATACTGAAATATTTACAGATGGTGTCTGAAATTCATTTCAAAATAATGGGGAGCCCGGCCGGGCATGGCTCAGCGGTTGAGCGTCGACCTAGGATCAAGGCGATCGGGGTTTGATTCCCGGCCAGGGCACATGCTCGGGTTGTGGGCTCGATCAATGACTCTCTCATCATTGGTGTTTCTGTCTCTCTCTCTCCCTCTCCTTTCCTCTCTCTGAAATCAATAAAGATATATTTTAAAAAAAATAAATAAATAATGGGGAAACTCCTAGGTAAATACCCAAAAGAAATGAAAACACATATCTACACACAAATGCTCATAGCAGCATTACTCATGACAGCCAAAGAGTGGAAACAACCCAAATGTCCATCAACTGATGAAGAAACAAAATCTAGTATGCTCACATGCTACAACATGGACAAATCTTACAAACAGTATGCTAAGAAAAAGAAACAACTCACAAAAGACCACATATTGTATGATCTCATTCATATGAAATGTATAGAATAAGCAAATATATAAAGACAGCTTAGTGGATACTTAGTGGTAGGGGAGATGGAGTGACGGGGTGATAGCTAAAGGCTATAGGGTTTCTTTTTGAAGAAATAAAAATGTTCTGGAATTACTGGTGATGGTTGTAAAACTTCGTGAATATACTAAAAAACAGTGAATTGTATACTTTAAATGGGTGAATTTTGTAGTATGTGGATTGTATCTCAAAGCTGTTATTGAAAATAATAATTAGCCATGAGTTGATAATTATTGAAGCTGGGGTGTGGGTACATGGGATTTAGTATACTATTCTTCCTACTTCTGTACATCTTGGAAATTTTTCATAATAAAATGCTCAAAGCACCATGTCTCTCACTTGGATTACTACAATAACCTCCTAATAGGTCACCCTGTTCCTAACCTTGCTCCCTACAGTTGGCAGAAAAATCAGCCTAAAAAGTAATTCCAATCACATCCCTCCTCTAATCAGACCCCTACTATGGCTCCTCATTGCCCTCCGTTTAAGGCCAAAGTTCCCACAAGTGCCTACAAGATCCTGTACCATCTGATACCCTATTGCTTCCTCTCCAAGTACTTCACTCACTCTGCTCCAGCTATAGTGGTCTCTTTGCTGTTCTTCGAATATACCAGAATGGCCCAATCATCCCCGAGTCACACAAACAGCATGAGGTTGGGTAGACATTAATGGTTTTGCAAAGTGAGCAAACGGAGATACATGAGATAAGATAGCTGCCAAACTCTATTGGGGCCTTTGTAAAGAATTTAACAACCTCAAATGCAGTCAAGTTTGATGAACAGAAAATGTCTCCGAACTAGATGAGTCATTCACAAACTAGGGGTGTGGTCAAAGTCCGCGGCAGCGGAGGAGGGACAAGCGTAAAACAGTCCCGCTCGCCGCCAAGGTAACCTGGGTCCTGCATAGGCCCCGCCTGGGCCAGTGCTCTAGAAGCGGGCGGTAGAAATGGACCCGGGCCCAACAGGAGTAGGAGGCCTGGACGTCTAGGGGAATCTAGGAGGCGGCGGAACGCCCACCGATGGTACCCGGTCTTCCTGTCTTCGGGGAAGAGGACCACACCTGTCAGAGGAATCGATCCGATGTGAGAAGGGCGGGAGCAGCGGGCCGCGAGCGCTCCTCGAGCGCCGTCGCTCCAAGAAGTCCGGACTACGCTGTGCAGCTCTCCCCTTCTCCAGTCGCTGAAATTCCCACTTCCGGCTTCCGGTATCGTAGCTGTGGTATCCGGAAGTAAAATACCCAAGCCCGGCTCCCGCCTAGGGGGCCGGCCAGAGGTGTGAAAGAAGCTGTTCTAGAAAGAAGCCCAAGCCCGCCAGCATGGGCCCGCCCCGCAGTACGCTCCCTAGTGATATGCACCACCCGCTGCTTTTCTTCGCGTCAAACCCACACTCCCTCTCGTCTCTCGGGCTTTGGCATCCAGCTTACAAGCGCTCGGCCGCCCCGCCCCCACCAGGGGAGGAGCCACGACGAGGCAATTTAATAGGGCTGATTTGACCCCAGCCCGCGACCCGTCTGGACCAGGAGGCGGTGCGGTGCCGTAAACAGGGGTCCAGGGGGCGTGGCCACGCCGCCGGCGGA